CTCCAATCTGCTGTACTCTCTTTCCCTCTAATTCAGGAGAAAGCTCACCCCTAAGGAGATAGCCTGTTTTACTTGTGTGCTGCCTAGTTCTCAGTTGTCACTTAAATACACCCATCAGAGAATCGGAGGCTTCTCGTCACAGAAGAACAAATGACATCTTTAAAATAAACAAAAGCAACAGAGAGTGCTTTCCATGGGTTCTAATGGGCTTCCTAAAACTGCTCCTCTGCCAACACCACTCCCCCTACATTAAACAGACTCACTTTAAAGTAAGAGAAACAGCCCTTGCTGATGTGGCTCAGTGGACTGAGTCCCAGCCTGCGAACCCAGTGAACCAAAGGGTCGCTGGTTCAGATTCCCAGTCAGGCCACCTGCCTGGGTTGTAGGCCCGGTCCCCAGTTGGGGGCACTCGAGATGTAACCACACATTGATGTTTCTCTCCCTTCTCCTCTTTAGAAATAAATAAATAAAATCTTTTTTTAAAAAAAGAAGAGAAATAATTAGTTTCTAGGTATCTACTCACAGATTTGCCAATTTGAAAAAAGAGATGATTTTAATATCCTTTTTCCGCTAAAAATAGATGAAGTTATATTGCTGATAATTTGGAAAAGAGAGTAAAGGAAAAAAATTAACATCAACTACCTTAAGACAACTATCACTAACCACTATATTTATTTCTTTTTGGTTACCTGGATTTTTTAAAATACCATCGGTAGCATTTACACTTATTTCTTTTTGGTGCTTGATTTGGATTTTTTGTCTAACTTTAATTTTATTCTAAGTTATGGAATGGGTCTCTTCCAATCAGCCCAACATAAAGAATAATCACGTCATCACAGAAAACAGAATAAATGGACTAACTGTCACCATCCAGTCTGATTTATGAGACGCAGACCCTTAGCTACACTTCCCATCCATCACTATGCATGGGAAGTGTAGCTAAACTACTGATGCTACCCATGCTAACTACCCATGCTAACTTCCCAAACCACCCATGCAGTAACCGCTTTTGCATTTCTGAGTTTACAGATGAGAAAGCTGAGGCTCTGAGAGGGCAAACAGCTTGCCCAGGGCCATGGGGCAAGAACTCAGACTCAAACCCGGCCTGTTTGGCTCCACAACTTGTTCCTTGTTTGTGCTCAAGAACCTGGAGTTCAGGGGTTCTCAGGGCCAAGGACATCACCATTCACACGGGTCTCTGCTCCTTCTGAGTGACCTTTCTGCTCACCTCGTCAACATCAGGATCCCTGACTGGCACCTGTCCTTTGCCCTGGCCCATACAAGGACAGGTCTCTGCCTACTGACTTCCTGCCTGCACTGATTGATGACTTGCTCATTGCATCTTTGATCTACTTCATGTATGTCAACTTTTCCCATCTGGCACATTTTTGAGCTCTTTATTTTATGCTGAGCCCTTTATGAGAAGCTGTGCATATGCATTCTAATTCTCCCTTTTCTCTCCTTTTCCCTCTCCCTCTCGTCCCTTCCCTGCCTACAGCACACTGCAGTTCATCTCTAAAGATAGTTCCTGGTGGTAGCATCCACCACGGCAGGGAGAGATGCCCCGTGAAAAACCCTACTCCACCCTTTAAGAGCCTGAGGCTCTTCCAACATGTGGGTTCTACTTGTGGTCATTTTCCTCATCTGTTCCTACTCCATACAATTTGCCATGAGATCCCATTTTCTTACCCCTAAAATGTCCATTGGAAATCCTTTTGGGTTCCTATTTTCAACCAATACTACAGGCTTTCTATGGGGAAATCCATAACATAATCCAAATACTTTAACAAGTACAGCTAACAGCACTTTGAGAATTATTGCAATTATTGATAGCTTGATATGGATGACTACAATAGAACTCGTTTTGCTTGCTTCATAATTACAATAACATTTTATTTCTTTCTTTCAGCTTTAATACTCTAATTTGGATAATTATCCAACAGAGTTCCTGGCAAGCATCTGGAAGATACCAATTTAAAAGAACCAAATACTAATTCTCTTGTTATGAAAGAATAATAAAAAATTTTTTAAGTTGCCAAATTATATTCATGTTGAAAAACATCCAACACACATGTCCCCTCTGCTATAAAAATGTCTGTCCTTATTAGACATAATCCATATTCCAAGAGATTTACAAATTGCAAATTCCACGTAGAAATGTATTTTCTACCCCTCTGCATAATCCCCAAGTATCATACAGCTAATTCTGCCCTTGGGGCATCATTCACATTTAATTTATCACTGATCTGCTGGAAGAAAAACTGTTTCTCCTTAGGACATGTCCAAAAGTGAAAAAGACTAGTGTGCATTCCAGAACGTACTCCCTCTGTCTGTGATGGGAGGAGGGTTTTTTAGAGAAGTCACAGGGTCCATTATTGTTCCACACCCAGGGAGGACGAGAACATGCGTTATTGGAAATGCAAAACCTTGAACTGAGTATACGCATTCTTTACTTTCAAATAAATTATCTTTCTTATCCTGTTCTATTCATTAAGAAGAAATTAAAAAGTATTTCTTTTCCTGGCTCTTTCTCATTAACTCTCCTCACACTTCCCTAGTGGGAAGAGATTCACAGTCCACAGGCTAAGTAACAACCCAAGAAGCACCCATTAATAAGGGTGCTCTCTCCTCACAGAGGCCAACTGACAAGGGGAAGAGGAGTCCTCTTTTCTTGTGTTTTTATCCTCCATCCCGATTAAATTACCCCCCCACTGGCCAGCCCCAAGGCTCCTAAGCTAGTTGTTGACTGTGAACTTTAGACCCTGTGCTCCGCCTGGTCTGACAAGCCCACAAAGCTAAGTGGCCCACAGGGGTACAAGGCATGATGGACAATAGCTACTACAACTGCAGTCCACTTGTAGAGGAGTACATGCAATCATCAAGTTACGTGATTCTATAATCTCTGATGGTCGATCTCAAGTAATCACGAATTTTACCTATAACACTAAGTGTTTTGGATATAGTTTAGCTGGACAGCACTTTTCCCCAAACATGGTCCCAGTCTTTTCCCAGGATGGGTTCTTGCTAAGTGCCTATGAACTGATTCAAAATCTGAAATTTGAAATAAGAAGCCAGATGCAGTCAAGGCCTGGCTGAAGGAATTTCAGACTGTGAATCAGCTTGTAGGCACCTGGCAAAGCCAGAGCATCCTGGCGGGAGAATGAGTCCATGTTTCAGAAACGACGCCATCCGGATGAACCCTGCTATCCAGATGAACCACATCCATGCTGTTCAGCATTACAGAACAGTGCCAGGCAGCAATGAGCTGAACCACCAGAGGTTACACAATCACACAACTCGATAACCACCTGTACCTATAAAAGTGGACTGTATTGCAGCGGCTGTTCTCTGTCACAGCAAGCAAGGACACTGCACTGGTCTGATCCCACAGCACGACTTCTAGATGTCTCTACATCCTTCTAAGTCAACAGAAAGGACACGAAGGCCAGTGCTCTCTTCCCTGCTCGGCCACAAGCTAGACACAGGATTTCTAGGCCTCGTGTATTGCCTCTGTAAATGATAGGCATAAATTAGACAATTTCCAAAACTGCTTTGTAGTCTAAAGTTTTATTCTAATTGCCACTGAGGATCTCAGCGGGGTGTAAGATACTCTAACAAGTGATAAGAGTGGTCTCCGGGACCCATGGATCATGCCCCCAATGGAAACACACAAGGAGAATGGAGTCTCCCTCCCCAGGAGGCCTGCACAGGCGGAGCTGCACAGGTGAGACAAAGGGAAAAGCTGTTCAAGGGGATTATGAATGTCACCTCTTCCGGGACCCCAAAGGCAACAAACATGTTTTATAACAAACACAGCTTGTCACAGCCTCGCTTGTGACGCACACTTCTTGGATTAACTTCTTCAGATCTCTAAGTGCGATACACAAATAATACTAGTTGTGCATCTCTTGCAATATGGAAAACAGCAAACTCTTCTTCAGGCAAGACAGCATATGGAGAGAAAGGCAGGCGTGTGTTGAGGAAGCAGTTAGCCAAGTGGATTAAGATAGGCCTTCTTGGTGGAGGGGAAAAGATTTTCAGTTGTATCTGAACCTGCCTTTTGGAGGCAAAGATGTTCTTGGTTATTATCTTTTCCAACTCCTTATCACAGACTTAAAATGAAAATGCTCGTCCTTCAGGCAAAGTGATATATGCACTCATACATACACATATTATTATAAATATGCTAATAACATTTTGCATTAACACAGAAGATGAAAGTGCTCTACAGAAGATGCTTTAGCTCATTAATCCTCAGGATATCCGTGAAATAGCTAGGGGAAAGGGACAGTGTGCCAGCTTTTTCAAACGACAGAACACTGCGCGGTTTAAGCAGTCTGCTCGAATTTGTCTCGAGGACTTTAGGCAGGGCCTGAGAGAACGCAGAGTGCTAACTTCAAGTCGGGACTGGCTCACGCTCCACTCCTCTCATAAAAAGACCAGAGGCCTCGGTGCAGTAATTCAGTGTTTTATTCTGTGGTCACCTTGTCTGCCCTGGACCCTCCTAGCACTGGGAGCCCATGGCCAGGGGAACCACCCTAAAAGCTAAGCGGCTGCTTGCTCCCAGACTCAGGGAGGTTCTCCAAGGTTTATCTTCCTGATTTCTGCTCCACTCCTCACAGGGAGTCCACATCCTTCACACCTACATCGCGGCTTGCCCTTTGTTTTTACCCCATTCCGATTTGGTAACCACCTTCCAATCTCACCATGTCCTGTTTTCACTTGAGGGCTTCGTAAAAATACAGCCCCTAAAATGCCCCACCTCCTACACTGCACCTGCCGATGAGAGGCACAGCATGTCACCTGGGCTTTAAGAACGTCACTGGTCATGACCTCAGCCTCAGGCTCTTTTGAAGGAAAGGGATGGGACAAATCTAAAGGCACCAAGTCGGTGATAACACACCCTGGCTCCCCTGGGATCAGGGTCTCCTGAACATTTCCAGAACAACCTCAGACAGCCCCCTCCATCCTGCCAGGGCCATGACGTAAGAGGAAGTTACCATGAGGGCGGTGTAGGTGTAGGGATAGTGGTAGGCCAGGTAACAGACATCCTCGTTGTGTGGGAAGGTGACAGCAAAGGTGAGGGTATAATAACACTTCCTAGACGCTCCCCCAGTGACAGCTGCACTCTCACGATAATGATTCCTAAAAGAGAAAGAAGAGAGGAGAATGAAGGAGACATGAGGGGACCGGCCATTTAAGATCCTAGGTTCCATAAATCTCTCATGTCATATGATAGCAAAATGGTCACTCAACACATTTAGTGAGTGAAGTTTAGAAACAGAGAAATGTACAGGGACCTCAGTGCCATGTCATGAGCCAATTCAGCCATGTCTAGGCTGGTCCGTCTGCCTCCTACCTGTGGCAATTATGCCTCAGGCCTTTCCTTGCCGTATCTGCAAAGGAGGTTACAGAGTCACCGAGATACAAAACAGAGGAAAATAGGAAGCACTCTGCTTTTCCTGGGATTCCACTGCAGACATACACTTTTTACCGAAGTTTGGGTTTTCCCCACTTTTACCTCTCCCCAGATTATATAGAGCACAGCTCTTCCTTTCCCTTCCACCTGCCAAGCAGTGTACCAGCTATCACTATTAAATACTGAGTTCCAATTCAAAGCTGAACATGTGTCGTTTTCTGTTAACAATGCCATAGTCCGTTGTCCAAAGCCAGCAAGGGGTCAATTCAGGGCTCGCGCCCAGATCTGTCGGTCTGCGAAGCCTTTGTTCTTCCCACTATACAACACTCTCCTCCCAAAGGAACACGTTTCTCAGCCTAAATGTGGTCTGGCTTCTTCCAGCTTGAGAGCACATACTGTCCTTTGTCAAAGATGAAGAACCAATTTTGAGACTTCGGAGAATAATATCAAAGTAAACGGCCCCCAGAAGTACATTTTGGAACCATATTTTCCCCACATGCCGCCAGATGCACGCTGGCCTTGCCTGCTGACGCTGAGACAGCTGTGTGGGCCTTCCTGAGAAATGCCATCGGCACAGCTGCGCTGCAGTGCAAAATGCACCCAGACACCAGAAGATGCACAGTTTCACCTGCAACAGTTGCACAGTTGGTTTACTTGTCCACTGTGTTTTGGGGTTTTCTTGGGTGAAAGGATGGGGAGAGGGAAAAAATAGTAATTATTCTGGGTGTGCTTGCAGAATACAAAAAACACAGATTATTATTTTCTGCCTTTTTACTACCTTTATACCCCCTTCCACCAAAGGAAAAAAAAAGAAAAAATAAAGGAGAAAAATCAAGCAAGCATGAAAGGGTAAAATAGGAACTCACGGTCTTGTTCTTTGTGATTCTGTGTGTGTGCATGTGTGTGCGTGTGTATATGTGTAACACTAGAAATGGGAGTGAGAGAAGTTGGGAGTCCCATGAGCTATGGCCTGACACACTTCTGCCTCAGTTTCTCCCAACATGGCACCCAGGAGCCTCGGTCAGTCGAAGGAAGGCAGAGACCCCCAGTGATGTAAGGCCCGAGTACCCACCAGCTTTTTGACACCACATTACCAGGGCGTTTCCTCTGGACGACAGGACAGACGCCCTCTGAGTCCTGATCCCTCATGGAGTCTCCTTTACCTCAAGTTCTGTAGCTTCTCCCGGCTAAAAAGCCCAGGTTATTAGAAACTATTCAGTGAGGCAGATGTTCGCTCAGAAAGCATGCAGGCCACATAGGCCCTGCCTTTTGTCCTCTTTCTGACTTCACTCGTACAGGCCCCACTGCAAGGAGACGTTCTGCTTGCCCCAAGCTGAAGGAGTTGGTGGCACCTTCCTACAATGGAAGGGCCAAGTGAAGTGAAATGAGGCCGTCAAAATAGTCCAAGTTTTTGCAACCAGTCAAAATGTGGAGGAGAGTCTCACACTCACACACACACACAGAATCATGATTTAAAAGGCAAATACACAGAAAATCGTGAACGAAAAAGCAAATAGGAACACACATCTCCTGCCTCGCCATCCCCAGTTCTTGACCCACAAACAACAGAGACTGTCTGCAGTTTCCCTGAAGATTAACAGAGGCCCCCGATGGCCCGTGGGGGTGGTCTCATTTGGCATGAGCCTTGCTTCTGTTTAGGTTTCCCACTGTGCAATCGTAACTACGCTGAAACCACAGGCACATTCACCCAAAGCAAAATCAACCTTACCACACCTGCCACGGGAAAGAGCAAGACAGAGAGAGGAAGTGAGGACGTGAAATCCCCATCACTGGGCTCTTTCTACCACTGAAACCCAACCTGGTCCTGAGGAGGAACAGCACACTGAAATGGGAAGAGAAATAAAATGGGATAATTCTTAGCTTTCAAGCTTGCGTGGGTCCAGGTCCCAGTAATCTGAGAGAAGTATAAGGAATTCAAATGGTGGCTTTATTTTCTTTTTCCCTCTTTCAGGAAGCCTTCCCTGATAGCCACCTTTTTACATAATTCTTATCACACTGTGTCTCACCCTCACTGCCAACACTGTGGCAGGAATTATGCCTTCTCATTTCTGCGTCCTCATGCTTGGCAGAGGACCAGAACTTCACAGCTATTCAGTTCCAGTCCCTGGAATTAAATAGACTTAAGACTCCAGGAGTTATAATTCGAAGCTTCACATATTTTATTTCTAACCCTAATGACCTCTTTTGAAAGTATTATTATACACCCCTATAGACAGGGAAGTTGAGGCTCACGGATGTTACGTGTCTTGAGCAACTCCTCATACCAGGCACCTTAGGAAGCAGGCTTCGATGCCAGGTGGGGGTTTACTTCAAAACCCAGACTTTTTTTTTTTTTATTATATCACCTTTCTCTTAGGAATGGATAAATGACAAGAGGACTTCAGGCTGAACTCTTCGTCCAAATTTGAAGTTTTGGTACTCATAAATCTGGGCTGCCTATAAAGGCTAAAGTACTCCAGACAAGAGCCAGTGAAAACAACCCACATCGCTATAATTCTTCATGTCCTTGGTATCTGATGCCACTGTGGTGTCGCTGCAGTTAATCAGGACCACTGACATTCGTGAGCACCTCCTGCACACCAGACACTGCTCAAAGCTCTCCATGTGCTTAATCTAATTTCAATTCCTTTTCAGAATCACTCCGCCGGGTACACATGATTGTCCTCATTTTACAGATGTGGAGGCTGAGGCTGGGAAGGGCTGGAATAATTTGCTCAAGCTCACACCATTAATGAATGGCAGAAGTTGGATTCCAAGAACTAACTCTCCTTCACCTGTTCTCCCAGGTGGACAAGAAGCGTGGTGAAATCAAGTGTGGCCGTGAATTTGTCAGATCCCAGGCAAGCCTCCCTGGGTCAGAGGAGGTTGGACAGTCCAGCCACTCAACAGTTAAGCGCTCCCCCTTTGCTCTTCTATTCCCTGAACCATTTATCTTCGGAAGGATCTGCACTTTTATAATCATAAAGCCTTCAAGGAAGCAAGGAGCAAAGTACACATGCATAGTTATAAACTCAATGTATTTCCATTTGTACTTAAAAATGTGCTGGGAAGTCATTTTTTCCCTGTGTGTGCACAAAATGAGCAAATGCTGAGATGGAGAGCAAATCAGGTGATCTTGCAATGACGAAGGCTCCATTTAACGAGGGCGCATCATCTCATTCCTTTTAACGGCATCTGACCAGGCAGAGCAGCCCAGTCGCCAGGTGGCCCCAGGTCTGTGGTGATTCTGATGTCCTCCGTGACACCCAGTCTCTCTGCCGAGGTCCTCGGAAGCAAGCCCAGCAGCAGAGCCCCGGTGTGACATTCATCTTCATGAGTAAGCTGTTCCCGCTCCTCTCACCAGCGGAGATGCACGTCAGAAGAGATCAGCCATTGCGTATGACACAGCCCTCCGAGCCAGCCGCCCCCCACCTTCTGCCCTTCAGCACCAACATGACTTCAGACCAGCACTGGGAGAGCACCTGAGAAGGTGTGTGGCTGTGGGCAGTCGAGGGAGAAGCCGACTGCAGGGAAGGAAGCAAGACTGTCCCTGCCAATAGGAGAGGCACGAAGAAATGCTGCTGCCCATTAATGTCGCTCTCTCTTGAGGATCACTTTTTATTTCCTGGCCTAGTGGTCTGCACAGTGGGTGGGAAGGGGGTCCCTTAGAGGGAAAGGAAGTCCTCGGGTGAGGGGCCAGAAGATCCACTGAGCACAGGGAGAAAGTATTGGAACTTCTCTTCAGAGTTGTTATGACCTAGGTAATAAGAAAGAGATTACGCTGTCTGGGGTTTAATCTGGGGGCTGACGAGGCTGCCCGTACTCAGTCTGGGTCAATGCCATGTGATGACTATAAACCAACTGCTATGTAGCAATCTTCCCCACTCTTCTCTGCTGCTGTCTGGGATGGAACAGGAAGAAGACATTGCACTGGACCTCTGGGCTTTTTGCATGTCAGAGAGTTAAGTATCGACTGCTGTAGAGGCGGCTTGCTGAGGGAGGGGCAGGGACAGCTCCCCCCCTCACTGCTTTTAGCTTCCGGAAAGGCATTCAAGTTTGCAGAAACCTACATTAGTGGGTTTACAGATTATATTATCTGAAGTAAACAAAAACTCTCAATAAAAACAATTCATTGGTTTTTTTTTTAAGGGCTGCTTAGAAGCCATAGCATGATGATAATATTAAATTTTAAGCAGAAATGACCAAGAAAATAGAAGAATAAATATGGCCTACCTCCTACCCTTAATGCTAGCTCCTAAGAATTCTTGTGTGCATAGAAATAATCTAATTAGACCTGGGAAGTTAACCAAAATTTTTCAAAATTATCCAAAAGACTATGTACATGACACTTTTGTGTTAAGTTCTAAGGGAGCAGAATGCCCTAAGTTATCAGTGCAGTAAAAACACAGTTGACCCTTGAACGACATGGGTTCGAACTGTGTGGGGCCACTTCTACATGGTCTTTCCATAAATGCTTCAAGTGCATTTTTTTCTTCCTTAGTACTTTCTTAATTTCCTAGCTTATCTTATTGTAAGAATACAGTATAAAACACATACCATATAAAGTAAGTCTAAATTGACTGTCTATGCTATCGATAAAGCCTCCAGTCAACAGTCGGCTATTGGTAGTCAAGTGTTGGGGGGAGTCAGAGACCATGGGTGGATTCTGACTGTGCAGGGGTGGAGGGACCACTGCCCCTGACCCCCGTGCCCAATGGTGAACTGAGCAAGATAGGCAGAGAGTTAAAATTATCATTTTTTTCATCTTGTTCTCTTCACTTGAAATTCTTAATTTGCTGCCTGTTTTCTAATGTACATAATATGTCAGTGCAGTAATGTGTATATGATTGATTAAAATGATTTATGAACAAATCTATATTGGAAGCACATGCATAAATGTGTCTTATCAAAACAGTCGGGAGACCACGTTCCCACTGATGACGAGAGGACCCAAAAGCCCACCTCCTCAGCAGGTCTGCAATGCCGTCACTCGGTACAGTAACTAAATACCATATTACTTCCAAGAGTCTTTCTCTCTTTGACCCTTTCCTATCATATGCTTGGGCGCTATGACTTGTGATTCTCTCCACCATGAGCACTCTGTTGCCCCCTTTAAAACATGACACTGAATCTGAGAATTTAACAGCATGACAGAAATAGAACTTCTGAGTTCCTAAGGACCTATGGAAGTTCACAAAAAAATGTGGAGGTAAAGGTCTCCCAATTTAATACACTAGGCAGAATAAAGACAGAGATGAAGCAAAAAAAAAAATCTCCTACAAGGAGGTGGACCTGAAGATTACGATGGGCAGAAGGGGAGAAATATACTGTAGGCTGCAAGGCATTCTCTGCTAGGGAGCAGTGCTCTGTCGTGTTGAACACAGATACACCCATCCATCCTGTTTTCAGATCACATTATTGGAAATATGTTAACATAACGTGGTGAATAATTGTCAAACAAACTACACCGTGATGTAGCAATCACCCACTTATCTCTGTTGTATTCATGACTGGAAAATGAAAAATGAATTACATTATACATTCATGGTTTTCATGTTACCTCTCTAATCACATAACAATGGTCTTGTTAATGAATCTAAAAGCCATTAACATTAATGCAGGCTTTCCTTAGGCCAAGGCTGTGCTCTTGGATGTGTGGCTTCCTCCTTCTCTTCGCAGACAGATAGATGCTCAGTCCCCTGAAGCCTGCTCCTTATTCCCCACCCACAAGTCAGCAGGCTCCAGTGAGAGCTGTGCACCCGGGAGAGGATGCTGAACGTTGTATTTGTTCGATTGCACACCAAAACTAAGCTCCAGTCCCAGGCTGGCAGCAAGCCGGGCCTTCTATGCTCATTTAGGGCTACCACTATCCGAGAAAAATAAAAGTTATTCTTGACACACAGAGGCCCTAATGTAGGCTTTCATTATTTTTCCCTGCAGCTGGGAAAAATATTACCCTGAGGTGATTTTTAGTCTAAATAACCTCTTTGGACCATAGAAAGATCTTGAGTCTCTAAGTGGATGGGCCAGAGGGGAGTTACTGTACAGGTGAATGGGAAAGCCAACCCAATGACCACATTTTGCTATTGTTCTGAAGAGTATAATGAACATACTACCTGGGTCCATGTGCTCATACATCAAGAACTGGAGATGCCAACTCTCTCATCAGGAGCTATCAGTCGGCCCAGTTCTGTGTGGTCTTCAGACTACTGATATCTCTGTGGAGATTTCTGATTGAGCAACAAGACCCTGACCTCTCCAGTGCCCACGGTCTCACGGGTCAAGGGGCCGGAGTGTGTAACACACTCTTTCTTCTAAACACTGACAGCAACCTAAACTCTAAAATGGTTACAGTTTTTAAAGGGCCTCCTGTAATCTCAGAAAAAGGTAAGACTTATTTTATCCAAGGATATAAGTACTAGCCTATCAATTTTTATTTTAAAAAATAGCAATGAGAATTATACATTTTCTACCTGTTCTAATAATGCCTATCCTTTTTTTTTTCTCATGAATTTGTATTTTATTTTCCCATTCCCAAATGCATAAATAAGCAAGTCATAGGGTCTGGAATTCTTTTATCAAAAGCTATAGATAGTTTAAATTTCATCATGCTTTTTTACAGGATAAACTCATGAAAATGGTTAGTGGTCAAGGGTTGAAGATGAATTTTGAAGACACTCCTTTTATTTTTTCTTAAAAAATCATCTTTCTACGTATTTGTCACCAATTCACTCTCATCTACTTTGTAAAACTGAAGGATAAGATGGGTAAGGACAGGCTAGAATTTCTCAGACTTTCTGCTCACTGAAAAGAGCAATGGATGGACATAAAGAGCTAAAGCCTGATGCACTAATCACAGGGTAAGTGAGTGCAACATCTAATAAATACCCAACACGGTCTACAGGTGCTCATGTGCCCACATGAAGACAAAGCATATCCAGCCAACCAAAAGCTATTTCTTGCTGTCTACTGAAGGTGCCATGTAATGTGCTCATGCTTCCGAAGGGCAGGGCACTTGCCAGAGGGACAGTGACAAGTAGAGCGGACAAGAACGGACTGCTGAGGTTTACACGAGCAATATGGAAAAGCAGGAGGGAACTAACGATGTTCTAACTCACTTGTAATAACAGATTTCATAGCCCGTCCGTTTCCAGGTGGGTCTGCCAAGAAGAGCCTCCTTCACAGAATACATAGTTGGCTGCATCCCTACACAAAACAAAGACAGGATTAAAACACTGGGGAAGGAGAAAGGAGCAAGAGAATTGCAGCAGGCTGTACCACAGCCCTCAGTGATACCCAGGTCTTAATTCGGGAACCTGGGAACGCTACCTCACCTGGCAAAAGAGACTCTGCACACATAAAGGATCTTGAGATGGGGGGCTTAACCTGGTGGGCCCTAAATGCAATCACAACTGTTTTTTTTAATTTAATTTTTTTAATTTTAGAGAGAGAGAGGACAGGAGAGAGGGAAACAACAATTTGTTGTTCCATTTATTTATACATCCATTGGTTGATCCTTGTATGCACCCTGACCAGGGACTGAACCCACAACCCTGGTGTATTGTGATGACACTAACCAACTGCACTACATGGCCAAAGCCATCATCAGTGTCTTTATTAGAGGGGGCTTAATGAGGTTCAACTACAGAGGAGAAGCAATGTAACTGGACCAGAGAGACATTTAAAGATGCTACGCTGTTGGCTTGGAAGTTCAAGGAAGGGGCCGTGAGCCAAGGACCACAAGGAGTGGAACTCGAAAAGATGGAAAGGGAAGCAGAAAACCCACTTGCATCTCCAGAGGGAGCACGGCCTTTCTAACACCTTGACCAAGCCCAGGGAAACTCCAGAACTGTAGGAATAAATTTTCCTGGATTTAAGCCGCAAAGTTTGTGACAATTTGTTACAGCAGTCACACAAACTGAATACAAAAGTCAAGGATCATATTTCCCATTTCTGTACCAGCAGGAGTCTATTTTTAGCATAAAACTGAGACAGTATCCTGTGCTCAGACCTGGAGAAACGGGAATATTCATTCCTTACTCAAAGCCACTCAATAAATTAGTGTATGAGCCAGCAATAACAGTCAGGATTTCCCATTCCTACAAATGTTTGAAATAAATCTGGGCCATTAGTCAGTACTCCTTTGAGTGTCTCCTCTAAAACTGGCCTGGGTATTCGGGCCAGTTTTAAACTTTCTGGAGAGTTTCCTGAGTGAAATCGGTGTTGGGCTGTACTGTTTGCCCGTCTGTGACAAACAGGTCAATGCCTTTGCTGCTGTGGGATTTAGGGGACGGAAGGAACACAGGAGAGGGCTCGCCAGGCTCAGAAAGCTCCAGGCAGGGCAAGGGAGGCAGGAAGGCTGGCGCGTCATGTGCGGCAGTAACGTCGCACAGCAGAGTGGGGATCTCCAGCTTTCCCTTCCACAGCAGCGACTGCCCATGTGTTGGCCACCGTCTCAACACACCTCGCCACCAAACTGTGTCAACCCAGCTTCAAATCCTTTGGGAAGCCAGCAGGACTTCTGGTAATAAGTTGAACACTCACAAAGTGACATAACCCCCCACATTACCCAGAAACCCTCTGTCCCCAGGAGCTCCTACCATAATTGAACTGGCTGTTGGGCTTCTCGCAGTTGATGATGTTGAAGCGGTAAGGGATGGCAGCCCTCATACCGCTCACCTTGAAGTTGAACCACTGCTGGTACTGGGTGCTGTTTACATCAGTATTGACCAACAAGTCATACTCAAACCTGCAAGGGCAGGAGCAAGATTGGAAGGTTAAGGGTCTTTAAGGTACCTGCTGGCACTGAGAGCCTGCACATCTCGGGTTCTTGCCAACAGATCTAAGACCCAGGGTCTCAGACAGCAGGTAAGTGATACTTCTCATCCAGAGCTGACCATATGGGCACAGGCAGCAGACTGGAGGGGAGCTGGTTCTTGGTATTAGAACAGTGAGCTACACAATTGTAGCATATATATTTCTTTAAACTGTGATAAAGTTTCTAGCTAGCTGGAAAAACGCAAGTGTGCGATTTCCCAGAGAAAATGTGATCACGTTTGGCTGGATGTGCTGTTACTATTTAAAGCCAGACATTACTTCTGAGCCTCAGTCTCCTCATATGGAAAATGAAAATAGCGTCTAAACTTGCAGTGCTGTTTGTAAAGATTAATTAACATAGCGTATGCAAATCCCTAGCAAAGCTACAAACATGAGCCAGGCTCGCAACACGCAGGGGTTGTTTATTCATTTCTCCCTTTTAAATTGATGCAACGTACGTGCAAGACATACAGTGCACAAATCTTAAGTGTATAATGCAATAAATTTAAACAAATTCATCTGCATACACCCATCTGACAACCACCTAGATCAAGATATAGGACCCCAGGAGGCTCCACTGTGTCCCCTCCCAGCCATCAGGTCCCCAAAGGTAATTAATTTTTTGAGCTTTGAGCTTTAGCAACTGAATTAGCAATGCAGATCTGACTTTAAACATTATAAGGGCATTTCATTTTCAAAAATATTATTGTCACACCCCCTTGGCATGTTCCTTGAGCTGCTCATTTAATTTTTTTATCTTCATCTGAGAATATGTTTGTTTTTTATTGATTTGAGAGAGGAAGAGAAGGAGAAACATCGATCAGTTGCCTCCCGTATGTGCCCCAACCAAGGATCAAACTTGCCACCTAAGTATGTACCTGACTGGGAACTGAACCCACAACCTTTGGTGTGCGTGAAGTCGCTCCAACCAGCTGAGCCTCCCTGCCCCAGTTTGAACTGCTCTTCTGGAAAGGGTAATGCTTTGGCTCTGACCTGTTCGTCCTCTCCCACTCTGGAGTCCTGACAATGGCCACTCTGTAGTGAGATTTGGGGAAGGGCAGAGCTTTGGATGAGACTGAACAGAGCAGCACAGAGCTAACTGGCAGATTCCCTCTCCACTCCAACCACTGAGGTCGGCGTGGCTCACTGGGCGACACTCACAAGAACGACTCGGAAAAACCCGTGTCCTTGAAGTGGTCTGTTATGCCTGCCATGCTGTGTCCGAAGAGTAACCATAAAAATTCCTTGCCTGTAAGGAGGTTTGTTTCCTGTCATTGGACCATTATCCTGAACACAACAGATTCAGTTAGGACCCTACACTCTGGCCAAAGGCAGGTATACGGAGAGGGAGACCTGGGCAAGGCCAACAGCTCGGCCACACTGTGGACAGATCACTGTCCCACTGGCAGATTCCTAAGGAGGTCTCCTCTCCTGGACCCTCAGAACACAGTGATGGAGGGAAGGAATACTAAAGGCAGGAGACCCAGGAAGAAGCAGAAGCTGAGCTGGCAGACAAGGAGGAGGAGGACACTGAGAAGGATTCGCAACTGGATGGTCTTGCCTGTCTGTAGCCCAACTGGCTCGACCTGTACTTATTTTCTTGCTGGGCTTTCCGGAAATAATGCATGTACAAAAAAAAAAACCCACAAAATATCACCATTCATCTCTCCAAAAAATGAAAACTTCAGGAGTGACTCCCTAGGTGGATACTGGACAGGTCTGAGCCCCAGCATAGTTAGTACATGTGGCCCCTGAGCAGGGGCAAATGCTGACTCAGCACTCACCATGCACCCGGAGCTACTCTAAGGACTTTGTGCACTAACTCTCCTGTCTCTACAATGTGCTGGCTCTCACTGTCCCCTCTTGTGGATGAGGACATGAATCCATGCAGTTAGTTAGGGATTCGCTCAAAGTCTGTGACCACCACATTATGACCTGCTCTGGACTGTTGCTTTGGATGGCAACAGATGATGGTGATGTATCTGGCCTTTTGTAAATGATGCATATAGCACAGACAATTACAGCACAAAGAAGCAACATTTCCGCTGCTGGAAGTTTTTGCTTTATTTCCCTCCTCCAAGCTTGTGCAGTCCCAGGCTCTCTGCCTACAGAACCCTTCTCTAGGAGCAAGAGCTCACTGGCGGGCTCTGGCAGAGACACAGCACTGAGCGCCCTCTCTGAGGAGGGAGGGCTCTCCTCCCTATGGGGGCCCAAGGTTTCTGTCTCCCAAGTCTACAGCTAGGGGAGCTGCAGACATGGAAAGACACAGGAGCAAGGGACCCTGGCATCAGTGGACGTATAAAGATCCCCCGGAAAGTGCATCACACCCAATATGGACCCATTCTTTGGAATACAGGTGCATCCCTAACTGGTTGCTTCTGGTCTCCACCTTGCTATGACATCAGCTGGTGACATGCTGGCCAATGTTTCCCAACTGACTCCCAGCCTTCATTTGCTGTATTTGCCACTTTGCATGGCATAAATACCGCCATCATGACTGATGTCGAGCTACCCATCAGTGTGAGGTCACTGCAAGGAGAGGGGGAAGAGGTGGTCACAGCCGCACCCTTGAGCTGCCCCAGGGCAGCTTTCCTTACTTACTCCCGCACTTGGATGGCCTTGCGAAGATTGCCTGACTCGAACTGCGAGGAGAACCATAAGCAGTTGGAAGCAGTGTCCTGCCTGTAACAAAAGAGGGGCCATGCAAACATGGCATTATTGCCGTTCTGGGGTACAGTGGGACATCTCTGAGAGAGTAGCTTTGTTGCATAGATTTTTAACCCAAATGTTCACCAGGCTGACTTTGGGAGTAGGAATGAATTAATAACAGGAAACTGTCAAGCTCAGAATTCTCCCTACTGCACCCACCCACCTTCCACTGGTGTTCAAGGCCACCTACCCAGGCTCATCTAAACTGAAGACGACTTTGTTTAGAACATCATTGGGCTGGATGAACCTCCGGATATCCTCAAATATCTTGATCCTGAAAAGGAAAATTAGAAACATTTTCAAGGTTGACCCTCACTCCTTAACCCACTCATCCTGTGGCCACCTGCAAGAGGCCTGTGGAGTCATCAGAAAAATAGGAGAGCTTAATAATGCCCCAAGCTTGAGCTGAACTACCAAAGAAATACTGCTCCTCCTTCCTTCTCTTCTTCCGCAGTAGTAAAACCACGCTGGGTTTAGGAACGCAGGAAGCGGCGAGGCTGGATTGTAGCACGAGTACTCTGACTGGAAGGAGAGTTTTGTCAAGGGTGTTTGAGTAAAGGGATGTCTGAGGTTTCTGGCTGTGTAAATAAGAGGGTCCTGAGCACTGGCCATTTTGAGGGGATGCCAGAGTTATTGACTGTTAGCATCCTAAGGTCTAGGAGGCTCCAATGAGTCTTTGGATCCTGTGTCACTTATGTTCCTTGGGTTCTGTCTGCTCGAGATTGAGGCTGATCTTTTAAGAAACACCAATATCAGGAGATTTAAGAAAGATGTAGAAAAGAAGCTTAAGGATCTTTCCGATTTTCTCCTTGAATTTCTGATCCAAGCCTCTGGGGTGGGAGAAAGGGGAAGAGGAGGCGGATGTGAGGCCAGGATGCGGGGGAAGATACTCTATCCAGGGGAAAGCTGTTGCTGGGCCAGCCCTGATGGTGTGTCTCTCAGGAACCTGAACCTGACAGAGAACATGCAGGGGCTGAGGCCAGAGATGTCAGCCAGGAGCCCAAGTGGGAGCAGCTCTTGGGCTCTGCCATCAATTTGCTAATGAAATGGAAAATAAGTTAATGATACTTTCTGGTACACACACTTTGCCCCATTGACTGAATGCATGCATATTCCTTTTTTTTTTTTTTCAGGGAAAATATTTTTTTTCCCTCGGCTTTAGTAATTTTCATTTGAATCTCACTTTGCTGAGCCAAAGGCAAAGCTCCCACTCCTGAATTCTGGGAATAATCCATCACCCAGGGCTTCTCACCCCAAGAATACATTGGTTTCATGCAATCCTCAGTGATGCAGGGAACTATTCTCCAAGCCATGCCAAGCACTATGCAGTTGGACTGTGAGATGAAGGTGCACGCCTCCCATTAACAAAGGACTAGATGCCAGTTTGCAGCGAACACGAAAGGAGATCACAGAGAGCCCACACTTGGTTTTTCTCAGCACCCTCCTGAGCAATGATGCCAGTATTGGCAGAAACTGGATCATCCTCTGTGTAGCAGCTGGCCGTGCACATGGGGTAAGGGGTTGCACAGCATCATCGAAGGGGCTCTCTCTCAGGAAACACATGCCTCCCACTGCCCTGCCTCGGCTCCAAAACGTCCTAGAACACCAGCGAGCTTGTGTGTTTGGCCAGTGTCCCAAATGGCTTTAACACACTTCCAACTCATGCTCACTTCTCTACAGAGAGCAGAACTATTGGGCACACCATTCTGCCTACGAAAATATTAAAGAAGAGAAAAACGCAGCTCTGCAGTCAGCAGCACCATCACCTTTGGATTCCACGTTTGCGCTCCAACATGGGCTCCGGAGATGGAGGTGGACGATGCCCCCAGAGGTCAGGAAACGCCACCATCTTGAAGTCCACCACGGACCTGGTTCTTCGGGCTTTGGCCATATACACACAGGGGTCGTGGAAGGGGATGTGCTGGGGATGTATCTGCAGAAGCTCGTCTATTGCTTCAACAGTTTCTCTAGACCTGGTGGAATTGGAAACGAAGGCACTTATCCGCGGGCAGGAAATCATGTCTGTGTCCCAAGCATCCTCTCTGAGGAGGGCCTGTATGTCCACAATTTCATTTGCGGAAGAATCCGTTCCCAGCCCATTGGATTGGGCCTTTCGGTATGGGTTCCCTCCAGGTTCTGCTTTAGAGGCGAGATGCACGGTGGACCGCCGCCTCCTCACCATGCTCAGAAGGGGAGTCTGGACTGTGTCTTCTCTTTCCTGCCCCTGGGAGCTTTGGTCCTTATTCAAGCAACGCTGCTTCGGGAGGGCAGTGGTTGGAATGTGGTGGTGGTTGGCGTACTCGGTCTCTTCAGAGTTGAGATCATCTCCGGGTTTGGACTCCAGGGCCTTCAGGTTTAAAGTACAAAAGGATACATCAGTATTCACTTTCAGGTAGAGAGTACAAGTGACCCCCCTCCTCACTCTCTGGGCTCAGGGCTCAGCACAGACCCCACAAACTGGGGCTTTTCCAAGGTCAGCCACGGAGAGACTAAGCCTTGAGAATCTCGTAAGTGGCAGAACCACAGAAACTCACATCTGTCAGGGGCTTTTGGTGGGTCTAGTATACTCCTATCAAGTACATGAAGGCCTTCTGCAACACCCCCAATAAGATAGTCCGGTTTAAGAACCTCATTTATCGGGTCTTCACAGCACCCCAAGGTGGTGCCTTTTATTTGAGGATCATTCTGATTGTTTACAAAAAGTGTTCTTCACACTGAACTGAAATTTCCTCCCTGAAATTTTTACCTGCCAACCCTTTTCTGCTCTCTGGAGTGAGGTAAATGACTCTAACTGTCTTCAACATGGGACTTAGCTTGCACCATCAGGTAGGGCCAAATTCATGATTGGTTAAGAGTCACTGGCAGATAACTGAGATCGAAAGGCAGGTCTACAATACTGGTGGCAGTAACAGCAGTAGCAGCAGCGACCAGCCCCCAGGTCAGCATCAGCAGGTATAAGGTTCTCAGTTTGCCTTCACTGACCAAGCAAGACTAGCCACTCTCTTGCAGAAAGCCATCTGGTACAGCCCGCCCACTTCAACAAGGCAGCAAATAAATCATGGAGAATTTTCACTTGCTTTTTCAATGTGCGGGGTCAGGGCAGCCCACCTCCCCCCCCAGACAACCAATGGGCAGCAATGTGTCCCTTCATCCTGTCCTTCCATCCTTGGTGTCAGGTGTTAGGCTGCAGGACTCTGGCCTGCACCCTAAGATCGGCCACTTTTCCATCTTCTTGCTTAGCAATCTGCTTCACTCTTGGGAAGATCCCAGAAGCAGACTGCTAATGAGGAGCCAGGCTTTCCACCTGGAGACCTCCGTGTGGCCCTCGGCTCTGCAGAGAGCCCACGGTGCAATCACGCCTCGCCCCAGAGCAGAACCACGGCACAGGCCCCACCTCAAAGAGGCAGGAGAGCTCCAGACACATCGCCTCATACTGGGTCAGCTCCTCTGCAGGCCGGTCAAGTCCAGGTTTGGAGCTCAGTTTGTTCACATCTGTTTCCAAGTCATCGTCCTACAAGGAATAGTCACAAACCACGTTACAACCAAGAAAGCCACCCTGAGAAGCATCAAGACGAACTACACGTGTGATCCTTCACAGAGTTAGGACATGGTTTTCTTGTCTCCAAACCAGAGTGCTGGCCTATGCAAAGGGCAACTTAATATGTCAGGTTGTATTTGTAAGGTAAGAGATACTGATGTTAGTATTTATCATTATCAGCCCACATCATAAATAGATAGCATTTTATATGAAATGAACTATGGAAACAATGAAGCACAATAGAAATTTTTATCATCACCACTACTATTAACATAATCGTAATTATTGTACCTATTCATCTCTCTACCTTTGTCATTTAGGTCCTTCACTTGTTTTGTTAATCCCTGCCTCAGGATGTGTTTATTGATTTCAGAGAGAAATGGGGGGGGAGAGAAAAGGAGGGGAGGGAAGAGAGAGATATTGATCAGTTGCCTCCTATCCACACCCTGACCAGGGATCAAACCCCCACTCCAGGTATGTGCCATGATCAGGCATCAAGCACACAAACTTTTGGTGTGTGGGACGATGCTCCGACCAACTGAGTGCCTTGGTCAGGGCAGTTCTTCACTCTTTTCACAAATGTTTAATGAGCAGCTACTATGAGCAGCTAGTCTGGAGGAACCAAAGACTTGGTGATAATGGAATACAGAAAGGTCCATGCTCCCATGAAATTTGCCTTTTTGTAAGAGAAGGAAGAGAGTAAACAAGAACATAAATAAATGAAAAAGTAATTTCAAACCGTCATAAGCACCACAGAAGTCACGAGAGGCGGTGAAGTGACTGTGATGGGGACCAGGGTGCAGGAAGCTGCTCAGACTGGCTGACCTGAGAAAGCTTTGCTGAGGAGGTAACACTTTTGGACCTACATGACAATAATCTCTGACTATGCAAAGACTCGGGGCAAGGGGTCACCAGCAGAAGGAAATCTGCTAGTTAAAATCTGCTTTCGGGAGAACAGTGGCTGAAAGACAAAGAATAAGAGGAAGACCTGAGAAGCAGGTGTTCTGTGGAGCTTTACTGCACCTGGGACTGCGTTTGGAACCTCCGGTGACACCTTTATCCCTTTGGACTTGTAAAAGTTGACCAAGTTGCCACCAATCTTTTCTTCTTTGGGGTGAATAATCCCAGACTGTATTTTTTTTCTAATCGATCATCATTTCATAATAGTTTAACAGTGATGGTGACTCTTCTCCAAACGCTTCTGTATTTTTCAAAGGTTACAGACTCTTACACAGAAGGGACTCCAGGAATCAGACCATTCCATCTCCTCATCTTTCCATGTCTCTCCTAGATCAAGTTTCCCTAATAAAACAGGGGAGAGAAATCTGCCCTGTGTTTTAGGGGTATATTGGGTTGGTTAAGGAAAAACCTGGCAGTCCTAAAGACCTAGATTATTCTCCCCTAAATCAAATAAATGTGGAAAATAAGTGTTTATATTCCTGATCCAGGGGGAAAAAAAAGCAAATGCAATATTCCATCCATCTCTAGCAATCTTCCTCCAAACTTGAGATTAAAAGACAAACAGATCCCATGTGGCAGATTTAATGATGTTTTCAGATACAGTGCACACCATGCCCAAACTCATCAGCCTGATGGTGGTGATCTCAGCTCGCGCTCTCTCTCTCTCTCTCCAGGGCTCGTCCATCTCGGCAGCAGCCACAGCCATGCCCCGGGCTGGCGCCAACGGAAACAAACAGGGAAGTCGATGGCGTGTCTGGAGTGAGGAGCCATGTAACCTGTGTGATCCATGAGCTGCTGGCTCACTGGTCCCACAGGTGGTTAGGTCCATGAAGAAAAAAACGCAGCCCACACCTGGTCTGCATTTAAGCTTCTCTCTTCTCACGTTGGCACCGACAGCTTTTGATCAGACTTTCCACTCTGAGGACCCTTTACAAATCAAAGGTTCCTTTTAATCACTCTTTCTAAGATACCGGTCTTAATTACTGACTAAGCTTTCCGAATGACCTGAAACACTCCTGGCTCCTTCCCACATTTTTTGCAGGAAACGCTGTCAGGTCTGCCAAGGACAAACACATTTGTGGGAGTGTGAGTCCCCTTGCTCTTGGGAAGCCCCCAAACCCAGCCCACCTCTGACGCTCCTCTGCTTCTGCAACTCATGCTCATGCAACTGAGTTCTCATCTTCTTGGCTCAAAGGCTTGAATGAGCAGTTCCCAGGCCTTCCCAACTGGATGTGTTTATTTGTTTCAGTTCCACTCACCCCAGCCCACCACCACCTGAAAAGTGGGGACAAGGGAGAATGTCTAAGCCTCCTCGATGCTGCGGGAAACGAGGCACTGGCTTCAGCTTGTCCTTCCACATCATTTTCAAGAGGTGACTGACGCTCTGCATTAGACGTTCAGTTATCCAAGAGCAAGCCAGAGGGGAGGGGGGTGGCATTGATGAATGACTGCAGCAGCACAATATTATTCAAATAATTCAGCAAGGACTCCAAGTCCTGCACTGCCAAGTTACGGTGAAGAACCAATTTTCTCTACTGATGGCTTCAGAAATGGTTCTATTTATCAACAAAACCCTGCGAACACCAGAGTATCAATAGCAGTCTTAACCTAGAGACCCGGCGAAGAGGTAGTGCCTTTATGTCTGCCACGCTCATCAGCACGGTGAGTGATTGTGCTGACAGAACTCAAATGGTCGCCTTCTCTCTAGACAGACAGGTAGGTAGGTGAACAGGTCAGAAAAAAGAAGGGGAGGAGGGAGATGGATGGAGAGATGGATGGATGCATGGATGGATGCATGGATGGATGCATGGATGGATGCACAGACGGACATTCGGGTTCCATGTCTGGGAATGTCACAAAAGGTACCATGTACTTCTCCACCACATTTTTTGTCAATGACACAATTAAAGAAGTGTAACTTGAAAGGGCTTGTCCAAGGTCATGGTCACCAACAGAAATGAAGACACAATTGTAATTCAGAGATAAAGTTACTGTTCCTCTAGAGTAGTGGTTCTCAGCCAGGGGTGATTCTGCCCACCACCCCTAGGACATGTGGCACTTCCTGGAAACATTTTTGGTTCATGACTGGGGAGGGTGAGAAGGAGTGGGTCCTGCTGGCATTAGCGGGTAGAGGCCAGGGGTGCTGCTACACACACATCCTACAATATGCAGTCAACCCCACAAAAAGGAATTATGCGGTCAAAATGCTAGTGGTACCAAAGTTTGGAAATTCTTCTCTAGAAATAGAGTCGGTACACTCTGTGCCACCGCCTGTTCTTGTTATTGGGTGTTACCGGAACAGAGCCATGCCTTACTGTTCATGTATTACCTGTAGGTGCTTTTGAGCTGTGAGGGCAAAGCTGAGGGGCTGAGGCAGACTGGTGCAGAGCCTGAGGTAGTTCCTATCTGACCTTCTGTAGAAGGTATGCTGACCTCTGCTCTACAGCACAGGTCACCATGGGTGAGAGGCCAGAGGGCGCCGCTGCCCTGTGGGCCAGATGGTGGACAACATGCAACTCCAGGCAGCATGACCCGCCCAGCCCCTTGAGGGGCAAGAACTGCATGGGGCACTGGTCCTGTGCCAAAAGGACAGGAAGAGTGACTCACAGAGGATGGTGGGACCTACTAGAGAAACTGTCCTAGAAACCCTTCCAGGGGTCTCTGTGCCTGAACCTCTATCACACATTAAATGCGCCAACCCTAAGCACTGAGTGTCCACCCAGGCTCACGGTGATAAAACATGAGGTATCTTCATATTGGGTAGCCTCTGACTTCACAATGAAATGCCTCACTGTGCTGACCGAGAGGCAACAACCTGGAGGTCAAGAACAGCAACTGTGGTTTATTCAGCACAGCTATCTGCCAGGCACCGGTGAGGGAAGATGCATCCTCAAAGCTTACACTGGGATTCACTAAACAGAGAAAATGGTTCTTTTCTTCTGTCCACTATGAACATGGAGAACATTAGAAGCAAGGTCTGGTGTACCTACTTCCTCTTTCGCATCTTCAGCATCAGAGTCTTTGTCCTCTTCTTCATCACCATCATCTTCAAAATCCTCTGCGTGGGGAAAAAGAAGGGAAACAGGTGAGGCTGCCCCTCTGTCTTGGATCTGGATTAGTACTTCGCCCTCTCGCCAATAGGGAAGGTGCTCATAATTAAGTGCACGACACTCCACCGCACACTGGTGCCTACATGAGGCACGGGACATCGTGTGCTCGTGAGCCCGTGAGGGCACCGTACTGGGAAGGGTGACCTGCTGCCCCACGGAATGCAAAATGAGTGCAGGACAGAATGACGCACGGCCGCCACTCTGGCCTCCCCCACCCAACTGAGAGAATTCCTGCAGCCAACATGGCCAAAGGCTGGAGATCACATACATGCAAAATTCACTGCACTTTCACTCCCTAATTTTGATACGAATGAAATTATTGGAAACAAGCACCAACAGACACATCCAGTTCCACTGCGGCAAGATGATGCCTCAGGAAAAATCTGTCCCATGCAAGGAGGATGGAACTGGAAAGTCCTAGAAGCTTCTGACAACAAACCTGAAGATTGGACAATCATACTTTCAAATATTCTAATGGGACTAGCATGAGGTTTTAAATAACAGAATTTTTTTTTCAATTTTATCCTTGGGGCAAATTAATTCCAGAACCAGTCAGTATAGTGGAGGGACTCGATCGCGGGCCTGTGAATAGATTGTTTTTAATTAGCTGAGATCACCGCATTCAATAGCCACCAGGCAAAGTGGCAACGGTTCATAATCACAGACAAAACAAGTGAACTTGGCATTTGTTCACTCACTGCGTGAAAAACTTGCTTTTTCATACGTATTTCTAATTAGCTTACAGGATAATCATGGTTGGCCTGCAAAAGAACTGATTTTTCACTTTCATCTGCATGCCTATGAAACACTGCCAAGATGCAGAAACCCACTTTCAAGCCCATAGATACCCACTTCCTTTACCTTCAGTGAGCACAGGCGGAGGACCAGAGGGGGTGCTCCCGGCGGCCGGGAAGGCATAGGCGCTGCTGGCCACGGCCAGGGGAAGGGGGCTCCTCGGGGAGCACTGCCTCAGGACCTGCAGCACCACGCACGTGACGGGTTCCAAGCCCGGGTCGTCCAGGCGGTTCTGAACAAAGGGCAGTGTGTGTCAGACCCTGCATCCCACACAGAGTCCCTGGGTGACAAATGACACACAGGCTAGGAGGACAGTAAACACCCTTCCCACAGGAGGTCAAACTTGAACACTGTGGGTGGGGAGCTTTGTCTAGTGTAGAACCTGCTTTGGCCCAGGGTACAATCTGAATTATTTCTTTTTCCCGGCTCCTGTGTCATTGGAACGAGTTTACATTTAGTCCGAATATGCGCTTAAGTATTCAGGGGATATTCGGGGAATATTCTCTTTCAGGGAACGGTGCACCTAAAGGGCCTTGCTGCGTGGGATGGCTGGGGGGGGGGGGCTCTTCTTCAGCCTCCACGGGCCACCGTGAAGGACCGCCCACATTAGAGAATGAGCAGCCACATGGACCGAAGTCTTACTTTCCTCTTTCAGCTGTCATCCAAAGAGAAAAAACGTAAAGGAAAAGGATAAAATATGAAATCAGAAGAAACGACCAATTGAGTCCCAAGCACCTAAATTAAGTGACAGGCCTCTTCTCAAAGCCTGCTGCATTGATCCCTCTTGGCACCCACCCAAAACAAAGAAAACTTGAGTTCTGCAGATTTAACATTCAGATAATTGATCAAACAGGACAAGACCCTCCTTTTCAGACACAGAGAAAAGTGCGAGAACAAGTTTACTAAATTGGGAGGGAGAGATGGGAGTTGTTTGGTTACCTCTTTGGGGGGAAAAAGGGCCATTTGCTTCAGTCTCTTAGTAAGTGGTCTGTCTACTGACTTGGTCCCAGAAGTGGACTAGTGTGGGCCTCCAGTGTCACATTCCTAAGGGGTTTCTGACAAGCCCTGCGGCCGACAAGTCACAGTAGGAGATACACAGGATGCTGAGAACCCGCCACAGGGCAGGCAGACTGTGCACAGCATGGTCACACTGTGGGATCTTCAGGCCCCCATCACAGGTGGCTCCACGTGAAAGAACGCGAAGAAAAAACATTTAACAAAAATTAAGCCATGGATTCAAGCTGTATAAATGACTCTAAAATATGGTAAGACTAAGCCAACTGTTAGAGCAGAAGTGTCCTGATATGATCAAGAATGCTATCACCCCTGCTGTGTGCTCACCTGCTGCCAATCAGGTGACCTGAACCAACAGCAGGAAAGTGGGCTAGTGGAGGCCGATGATTCAAGTGCTCACAATAAGTCCAAGTATTCAGAAGATAAGAGAACTGAGTGGGGAGGAGCAGGAGAGGAGGAAGGGGAGACGGCCAATCACAGGTAATGTGTTGACCTTCAGTCTTAGGAGGCAGAGAGCCGATCTGCAATCACCCACTCCTGCCTGCAATGACCCCCGTCTCTGAATCAGTAACCATCTCAAACTGCTGCACGGTACCTTGGAGAGGTTCTTTTCTGCCTTAAGTTCCAACTGTCATCCTTCTTCCCCCTTCCTCATACAGAGCTCCAACAAGATCCCATTATACTGCATAGCACCCTCACTGTACCAAGGACAACCTGATTCCCTCAACTGGGACCCTTAGTGGATCTGTGTGAGAACGTGACCCAGGAAACAAAGGGACGGGGTCATTAAGAGAGCCCTGCGATCGTGGCCTCCGCAGAAAGGCAAAGAACAATACAATGAACAAAGGCTGTGGGAAAAGACTCAAAAAATAGTTCTCCTGCCCAGTGGGTTTGCAGTTACATCATAAACACCAACAGAAATAGCTCAGGACAGCAATTTTCGAAGTGTGATTCCCAGACCAATAGCATCAACATCACTGAGGAACTTGTTAGAAACGCAAATTCCCGGGCTGCACCCCACACCTGCTAAGTAAGAAACTCTGGGGATGGGGGCCTTGCAGCCTTCCAGGCTGGAAGTGTGCAGCACACTCTGCTCCTGCCGTGGACAGAAGTGGGGACCTCCAGGGAGACTGCTGATTTCAAATCCCTGAAAATGCCCGTGTAAAATTCAGAGCCAGCACTAGGCCATAGTAACCATTCAAGACCAATCTCTCCTCCTCCTCTTCCTTCCTTATCACTGACATGACCGTCACCACCACCACCAGCAGCAGCTGGAACAGCAGCAGCCACAGCAGAATTTGCAACAGCCACTGAAATGACATGACTGGATCCAAGGTTCTCAAGTCGGCCATCCTGTGATCTGTGAGCCTTCTCTGGTGGAAGAGGGGAGGGTCGAGAGGCAGCTCCAACTTCAGCATAGCTGCAGTGACATTGGTGCTCGCAGCCAGGGGCTGGGAGGCTCTGCAGCTGGGGAGACCCAGTTGCAAAGACCAGGGACTGCCTCCACTCACATCCCACTTCCATTCCAAGAAGCCAGTGGGCACCTGTCGGCTTGCCTGGTCAGGCAGCTGAGGTCTTCACGGACCTGCTGAGGAGCTGCTTCAGAGATCCCAGCCCCTTCTACGCCCGCACGTCCCTTGGTAGTGTCTTCTTACCACACACATGTGCCTGTGGAATCATCACTTTCTTTTACTGCCCTTTTAGGTGTTTTTTAACACCAAACAGAGAAACAGCCATTACTGCAGAGGACAGAGGAGCTGGAGTGGGGAGGGCTATGAGGTGTTAGCGGTGCAGGCGGTATTTCACCAGGGCTGGGAGAGATCAGAGACTTGGGGGACACAAGCTGACAAAGTATGGTGATGCCTGGAAAAATTCAAAGTGTTTCCTCATCCAGGGGAAGAGAGTATAAAATATAGCTATTTCATGACTGAGGAGCTCTGAAATCTGCAATGATGGAGAAAGACCCTGAGGTGAAAGCAGAGAAAATTAGATATTGCTTTGCTGAGTGATATTATGTTATTATTTAGAGGGGGAAAGCTATTCCATTATATGGGAAAAGTCTACAGGCATCCTGGTTGGAAAACAACACTCTCATCCACTGCTTCACCACCTCAGATGTTCCTGAGCAGAAATGAACTGGAGGTTGTGCAGAGAAAAGCAAAAAGACTGATGGAGGGAGCACAGACTAACGTGAGGACAGACAGCAGAGAACGTCATGTGTGGGAATCCCAGTTGCCTCGCCCCTGGGATGGAGGGGTGGGCAGCCAGTAAATACTGGAAAGAGGGTCATGTCATCAGTACAGAGGTGAATATAGCTTTGCACAGCGGTGCTTAAATTAGCCCTTGTCAAGGAAAATTAAGGAATTTGTCACTTGGGTTGCGATCCAGGAAATCCTAAACACATGTCCTGCTGGGGTACAGGTCAGCAACAGACCTTGCAGGAAATTATCTTCCTTGTGAAAATCTTTGCTTCTGTAGTGTCTGATCCTCCCGCTAAATGCCTGCCCCACGAAATCAGAAGTCTTTTCTGTAATATCCCTCACTAGATTCCGCAGTGCTAATTATCCCAGGAACTGCTCACACTCATAAAGCAGCTTTGTCACACCAACAAGCAGGAGGAGGAGGAGAAGGGAAAGAAAAAAAAGGAACAAAAAGGAAGAAGGAAGGGAGGGAAGAAGAGAGGGAGAGAGGGGAACAGGGAGGGAGGGAGGAAAAGGAGAAACTTGAGGCCCAGAGAATTTGGCTTCAATGTTCCACAGCTGCAGGTGCTGGGATTTGAACCCAGGCTCTCTAGCTTTAAAGTCTACACTCTCAACCACTGTACCACAGTGTGTGCCCAGTAAATATGGACTGAACAGATGAAAGAATGCATGAGCGAATCAATGAGTGAGGATCTGGATGCGGAACACCTCCCCACAGCAGGCAGCAAGAACTGAGCTGAGGTTTCTCCAGCTCTGTTCCGGACGGTTCTGGAAAGACGGCCTGTGGGAGTCACCCAGGTGTCATCCGAAGCAGAGGCGGCCACCACGCTGATTACCTGCGTGCTGCTGAAGAGGATCTCCATGCCCTGAGCTGCCAGGAAGGCCTCCCTGCCAGACCGGAGGGTGGTGATGTGCTTGAGGCAGAGCAGAAGCGCCCGGCGGATCGGCACGTAGGTATCGGCCCCATCGTGGCTGTGCCAATCCTGATGCAGCCTGAGCAGGCTAGTGACGTAGCCTCTGTTCACCGCCCGGCGGCTGTTAGACTCTGAAACCAACGGGAAAGGGGGCGTCGGGCTCAGGCTCCCCCAGGGGCCTCGCCTAAGGGTGTCCCGGTGTGCCTCCCGGAGACACTTAACTCGAAAGGGACGAGCAGTAACCTTCCAGTGGGGAAAATGGGCAGCTGTCCCTTTAATCGAGTGATGAGAGTGCATCACCTGATACGACGCACTGCACAAGACACAGCATTCCTGCACAAACGCGGAATTTACCCACGTGAGATACCGGCACACCCCACGTGAGGGACATGCTGCAAAACACCTGACCTGTACTCTTCAAAAGTGTCAAGGTCACGAAAGGCAAGAAAAACAAACAAATAAACAAACAAACAAAAACGGAGGCATTGAGCTAAAAGACACTAAAAATACCTGACACTTAAGAACCACATAATTGTAATTTATATCCTGGCCTAGAAAGCATTAGTAAAATCTGAATAAGGCCTGTAGTTTAACCAACAGTATTGCATCAATGTACGTTAGATTTATATAAACAGCAGTTATATAAGAGAATGTCATTGTTTTCAGGAAATTCAGAACTGGTGCACAGAAACACTTGTAACTTATTCTGAAATAGTTCAGAAACACTGTAATAGTGTGTGGGGAGGGGAAGGAAAGGGAAAGGGTTACAGGAGAAAGAGATTTCATTCTTTCCTATACCTCAGTCAGCTAAGGGTACTGCCATTGGGTTGAGCAAACTACAAGGTGGAGGTTGGAAGGGAAAAGACACTGAGTGAGACATAGTATCTGAAAGGTTGTCACGGGTTGGAGATGCATTGGATGTTTTTGCTAACAGGAACAGAAGCCAATTCATGAACAGCCCAGGGTTTGATGAAGCTGAAGAAGGGAAGCCTTCCACAGTCAGGGCTGCCCACCAAGGGCATGGCCTCTGTGTGCAGTGAGCAGAGCAGCCAGGCACCAAAAGTGCATGTTGAGAAGGAGGTCGGAAATGTACCCACGGGGATGTGGTCTGAGCGTTCCCACACCAGCTGGAGAGCGGGAACAGAGTGCTTCTGCAGTGCCCTCCACCTCTGTAACGCCATGATTTGTTTCTCTCCGTTAGTTGAATGATCCTGGTTGAGCCCTCTCATGAGACCCATCTCACAGGGTAAGTGGATCATTTCTTAGTTTTCCTGAGACATAGTTTAAATTCTCTTTGGAGAAACACAGGGAGAAGAAGAGTTTAAGATACCCCTCTCAACAGTTAACATCTGCCCCTTTCCAGGTTAAATTCTGGCTGCAGGGTCGGTGGGCAAACAGGTACCCATTCAGATTCACGCAGCGGATGCCTGGTCATCTGCAGGAATCTCACCAGCTGATTCTCAGGCACGAATGCCCAAATCTTGCAGTTCTGCCCTCTCGTTACCGTATTTCTCCATTACCCAGTCCACTCACACTGATGAGACAATATATATGCTTCTAGAGAGGGTGTTTAAGTGAGATTCCCCGAGCTGTAATTGGATATGTACAAATATCAGCTCAAAGTCAGATTTTTCCTTTAGACTGTGTAAGTGCACACAAGTGGAAAAAAAAGCATGAAAATTCAGCGCTTTATTCCAGACAGTTTTTCTCATAATATTAATGAAATTCGCTTTTTTTCCTGCTTGTTTGTCAAATTCTTAATTGTCAGGCTTGACTGAGCCCCAATGAGAGATTTTTTGACCCATTTCTTCAGCTGGTTTTACTTTTTTTTTTTTAACATTTCTCATCATTTCAGTCAGCCATGACCTGGAACTGAGAGTGATGAGTTTTATTCACTCGGTGATATGTTTGTGGATGGTTTAAATCGCTTTCATTACCCCTTTAATGAATTATTCTTCTGTATCAAAAATCTCTCTCTCCTTGGCTAGTCCCGGCCACAAAGCACTAGAGTTCTTTGCTGCCTAAATGAGGTTCCAGCCTCTCCAATATCTGATGTTTAAAAGAAAATTGAAGATTAAGTAAGAGGTATTAAGGAAAAGAATCGCCTGCTGAAAAGATGCCAAAATGGCAAAAAAACAGTGCACAGGGGCCCTGTGGGCAGTTGGAGGTTGGGGACTTGCATCATTTATCTGTTTCGGTGTTATCCTGATGACCTTCACATGTTCTGGGCGAGAGGGGGGGTAATGGAAAGAATCTTTAATTATCTGAGAGAAAAACCCCTTATCAAATCCCAATGACTTTATTCATGATTTTCTGTTAATCCTCAATAAACCATCAGGTTTACTAATATCTAAAACAGCTACACCTCCATCCCCCACCCCCCACCTTGTATCGGCCAATCTTTCTCGGAGAAGGGCTTGGGGAGTTTTGCAGAAGTACACACTTGTCTAAGACCCAACAAGAGGACCTTCATCAAACTGAGCAGAGCAAACGTACAGAAAAGCCAGGGGATGAAAGGAGGGTCACGGAGAGCAGCGACTTGGAGGAATTTAGGAAATGTGAGAGGAAAGCAGGGCCTCTCCAAGGAGCCCAAAGAGGGAGGAATCCGGGGGAGGTTTCTCTGCAGAGAGGAAGCTCAGGGACGGGGCGGGGGGTGGGGGGACCTCCCAGTCCCCCAACACTCTGCAGAGCAGACCAACTGCACTTCAGTTTGCTTACATCAATAGCTTCTTCCTGAGACTTTCAGGGGCGGGGAGGGCAGAAGATCCTTTTTTAATTTGAGGGGAAAATCAATTTTTAAAGATTTCCAAAGTAGATTGGTTTGTCTTAAACTTGTTGGAGATGGAGGTGGGATAGCCAGACAGGACTTCTGAGGGTCCTTGACACCCCACCCCCAGCCCCTCGCCATTTCAAAAGCATTCTCAGTGACCAGTCTCCATCAGCCCTGCCCTGGGGGCAGCCTGATGACGTCCTCACCCATGAACTTATCCTCGTCCTGACTTCTAACTCGCCCTTGTATAAACTACTTCTACCTCCCTCTCCGGATTACATCTTCCCGGGGTCTTATTTGTAGCTAATTCTCAGTCTGGAATGTGATCTCGTGGCATCCTTAGTTTTACCCTGAGTCTTTTTCCACTGAGGTTTAAATGTATCTCTTCACTGCAGACCCCACTGATGCTGCATACCTTCAGAGCCAGATAAAAAGGAAAGAAAAAAAAACTGGCAGGGAATGTCTCCAGATATCAGCAGTAGTTACAGCGGAGGACGATGCTGGTGGGTAGTTCTATCTGCTGCAGAGTGTTTGAGTGTGATCTGAGTTTTCTGTAGCTCTTCTTCCTCTCATGCTGTACAATGAACTTAGCTTGGTCACAGAGGAAATGTGGGAGCCTGCGGCAGAGTGAGGAGCCGCAGCTCTGGGAGTGAGACCCACAAGCAAGTGCCGACCTCTGACCTTCCCCAGACTCCAGTGCCCCTCAGGGCCTTGCTGAGCCCATGCCATTGGCAGACCTGACAGCTGCCAGCTTCCTTCCTGGAATCCCTGCACACAGCCCTGCGCTTGACCACCTTCCAGCTGCATAGCCTTGAATGTGTTACTCCCCACCTCTATCACTCAGTCTGTCTTGGAAAAACAACTAAGCAGAATCACTTCCTCCTGGAGTTGAGAAAATTAAGTGAGATAATATACATAATCAGGTAGCTTGATGCCAGGCACATAATAAACACTCCATAGCTGCTGCCCATTATAATTGCCATCTATATATTATTCCAACTTTCCCTCTATTATTATAGACAATGAAATACCAAGTGCTCAGGATGTGAATATACTCCCTTTGACAGACCCATGCAAGAGCAGGGAGTCCAGAGTCACCTCGCTGCCGATTCAGATCTCGGCTCTACCACTTTCTAGCTGTGTAACCTTGCTGAGTGAGTTACTTAGCCATTCTGAACTGTATTTCCATCATCTTCCAGCCTGGTCAGGGCACGAGATTCTCTTGTCGGAAAATGGTTTATGTGTTTAACAGCCCAGCATCGCTGTTGATAAGACATACATGAGTAAGAATACACACAAGGGTGTCAGGCCCCCTTCGTTCCTGAGGACGGAAATCATCTTCAGCCACACATTTATCGCTATCCCAAGAAACTCTTGTCCAGGAAGATTAAGAGCATTATCGTTGGTTTCAGGAACTTCACACAAACCCACTCACATGAACTGCTGGCAACTCAGTGAACCCTTTTCAGGATAGCAGGCCCTTCCCTGGTCAGAAGACCACTCAGCTGGGCTCACCCAACTCCGGGTTGAAGGCCCACTTGAACCACAGCACTCACACTCTATAATATTGCACCCTACAGCTGCCCCTTTGGAGAAGTTACTAACTTTCAAGACAAGGGCAACTGCAACTTCATGAAGCAATAGACTTGCTACACTTTCAACAGATTATTTCAGTGGCCTTTCCAGGAGTCAACAGAGAAGGTCCTTCTGGACACAGTAGACTTTCATCGAGACTTCTAAACCACACCGTACAAACACGCAGCAGCCGACGTGGCCCTCACAGCACCAGTTACCATTACGGAGTGTTTATCTACTGGGAGTTCCCTGTGTGCTCAGCACTGGGCTAATCATTTTACACAAGCATCTCTTAGCTCACGGAAATGCTCTGAGATAAGCAATATTTTCCTGAAGACGGACAGGCAGAGAGAAGTTAAACAACTTGCGGTCCCAAGAGCTTAGCAGGGGCATATCCTGGATTCAAATGGAATCCCCGTCTGCCTCCAAGCTGACTTCCCAGGTTGTTATCCCCAAAGCTCTTCGTGCTGGTTAGCAGAGTTTACACGTTTCTGTATCCAGATTAAGACCTTGAGCTGTCAGCAGAAGAACCAGCTTCCTGAGGAAGGTTTCCGAAAAGCTAATGGAGAAAAAGCCAGTGGAAACCCAAGGCGCCAGAGGCTCGTAGGGAGAGGCAGCCAAAAGGAACTTGGCTCCATCCCTCCACCCTGCCTCCCTCATCCATTTTCCCTGCCCCTCCCAGGCCTCTAAAATGGTTGGGGAGGGTTGATTTTTAATAGGAAACCCAGGAAGCCTTGAAGGTTCAAATAAATGGCTTGAGGTTCTTCCGGTCACTGGTGGAGACGG